AATAAGCTGGTCGGAGTAGGAAAACACGAGAAGATCCGCATGAAGCTTTTCATGAGGAGCCTGAAAGGAGATGCTCTGTCTTGGTACATTAGCCAAGACCCAAAAAAGTGGTCAAACTGGGTGAGTATGGCGTCCGACTTCATGGACAGATTCAGGTTCAATATGGAAAATGCACCGGATGTGTTTTACATTTCAGAATTTAAAGAAGAAACCCACAGAAACATTCCGGGAGTATGCCACTCCTTGGAGATCAGAGGCTGCTAAGGTCCGACCTGCTTTAGGGGAAGAACAGATGAACAAGTTTTTCGTCCGGGCTCAGGATCCGCAATATTATGAAAGACTGATGATGATCGAGAGTCATAAATTTTCTGACATCATCAAGCTAGGAGAAAGAATCGAGGAAGGTATCAAGAGTGGTATGGTTACGAACTTTGAAGCCCTGCAAGCTACCAATAAGGCTCTACAGTCTGGTGGTACGTCCGAGAAAAGGGACGTAGGCGCCGTGATGATTGCACAGAGAACCAAGTCACCTGCCAAATACCAAACTAATCCAATACCTCCGTTACATATCAGCCCACTCCAAATTTTCAAACACCCGCACCTTCCTACCAAACTCCACCGCCTACTTATCAATCACCTCCACCTCCTACATACCAACCTGCTTCACCCAGATATTCCCAACCCGCACACGTCTACCAAGCCTACAACACTCAACAATCCCACTATCAATCACCTCCCCCTCGTCAAAACTTTCCTAGACCCTGACCAAATTTTGACCGCAGACCTCCCAAACAGTATACTGCCATTGCCGAACCAATCGACCAGCTGTACGAAAGGCTCAAAGCTGCTGGTTATGTTACCCCCATCCCTGCTATAACCCCTAAAAACCCTTCCCAATGGGTCAACCCAAATAAAACCTGTGCATACCATTCTGGCATGAAGGGGCATACCATTGATGAATGCCGCTCCCTGAAGGATAAGATCCAGGCTTTGATTGACAACAAGATCATCGTGGCGAAGGAGCCTGCTCCGAATGTCCGCAATAACCCTCTACCAGACCACAAGGGAGGAAGTGTTCACATGATTGAAATAGAGGATGATTGGGATCCCAAAGGATCAATCGGTTTGATCGCAGAAGGCGACGATCCAAAGAAACCAACAGTCACCCTTAATCCGATTGTAGTCCAGATTCAGCCTTCTGGAGATGCCGAGGTGAACATGTCCATACCACTTGAGTTTGAAACACCATCCTCTGCAAAGACCCCAACACCAATTGAGGTCGAGTTTGGGTCCCCAAAGGCGCCTGTACCATTTGAAGTTGATGTATTACCTTCCAAAGCAAGGTGGCCCATTCCAGTAGCAATGACAGCCGTAACACCATTCCGCACAAAAGCCATACCATGGGACTACACAGCCGAGGCAAGAAGAAAGGGGAAAGCCAAGTTCGGGGAAGCAGTTGCGGCACAGGGTATGACAAGAACAGGTAGGGTTTATACCCTAGAACACTTGGCTGAGTCGAGTAAGCAGACCTCTGGTCGACAAGCCATCACTGAAATTGGGCCCGATGATCTCTGGAGAAAGATACAAGCGAAGGAATACTCAGTCATTGATGAGCTGAACAAAACACTGGCACAGATTTCTATCCTTACTCTGCTACAGAGTTTCGATGCACACAAGAACGCCTTGTAAAGAGTGCTGAGTGAGGCATATGTACCAAGCAACATCACCGGGGGAGAGATGGCTAACATGGTAGGTCAGGTATTGGAGAGTCACAAGATCACTTTTCACGAAGATGAGCTGCCACCGGAGGGATTGAGCCACAACAAGGCATTGCACATCACCGTGCAGCGCGAAGATTATTTTATCACCAGAATCTTAGTCGATGGGGGGTCCAGTCTCAACATTTGTCCGTTGGTAACACTCAGGATGTTGGTAAAAGGGTTGAATAAAATCAAGGACGGGGCCATCAACATTAAAGCTTTCGACGGTTCTCAAAGGTATACTATTGGGGAGATTAGCTTATGTTTGCAAATGGGGCCAACTTGGTTTGATGTTGATTTTCAAGTAATAGACGTGCCGGCGTCCTACAACCTGCTATTGGGACGGCCGTGGATTCATGCCGCTGGGGCCGTGGCATCAACACTACATCAGGCAGTGAAGTTTGAGTAGAATCACCAAGAGGTGATCATTCATGGCGACGGTAGCAATCCCATATACAGCCGCCAGACCATTCTAGCAATTGGAGGAAGAAGAAGGATAGGTGGGGAAAATTACCACCACATCGAGCGAGTTAACGCCGTGGATAAGGATAAGTGGTGGGATAACAAAATTGAAAGCATATTGAACTGGAGCGGGTATGAACTTGGCAAGGGACTTGGAAAGAATCTCCAGGAAATCTCTAAGCCCATCAAGCTCAAGAAACACGGCACCACCTTCGGATTGGGGTATGAATATACCTGGAAAGAATTCGATGAATGGTCGCCGCCCTGGCGTGGTCCTTACTATCCATTAGAGCAGCCAATACCACGCTTGGAACGGACTTTCCAACCGGCCAAAGTTATCTATGGGTCAGAAGAAGAGGAAACACTAGCAGCAATGAGGAATTTGTTCCTAGAAGACGATGATATGGATTGTTGTGTCATTTTTGAGGAGGAGGGGGAGGAAGGCCCTTCCATACAGGCAGTAAGCAGAGGAGCATGCCTCAACAACTGGACCGTCAGAACCACCAGAGCCCGGCGTGCCTCGGGGTAGCAAGGCTGAACAAGCACCATGCACTATTTTATTTT